TACTATTATATAGAAGGACAAGAGCACTCGCTTTTTGTTTGACCATAGATATAATGGCACGTGTTGTGGTTGTAGTTTTTATGGTGATTGGGGCTATTTTAGATGTAAAGGGCAAGAAATGTAGTTTTGCCATAGGCTACCAAAAACAGCTGGGGACAAATATGACAATCATGCTCTCAAGCTTACTTTTTGTTAAGGTCATGATCTAAGCCAATGTTATTGTGATATATGTGAAGAAGACCAAGATCCAAATCACTGGTTTTATCATTGTGCCGATTATGACGTTTCTGCTCATCCTCATTGTTGCTTTGGAAATCCTCATCTGTCAAGCTCAGAAACCATTTCGAATTGATGTTTACTAGCTTCCTGTCACTTTGGTGAAGATAGATGTTTACCTTCCTAAATGCAACGAGTATGGTAAGCCTTGTTGAGATGATCTATTCATTCAATGCACACAACCAGATTGCACCTACATGATCCATTGGGAGTGGTTCTCACGGAAGGGTTTATTTAATAGGATTCGTTGCCTTCTTCATAGAAACTAAAGAGCTGACACTCATATTGTTCTTATGATATTATGTCTCCAAAAGAGGGTAGATGAAAATAAGATATCTCATTTACTCTTCTTTTTGTTTTTGATTGATTTTTAAGTTTAGTTTGATCTTCTAGCTGTTGGGTGATGTGGTTGGACTATCATTTTTTTTTTTTACATCGAAAACTGAATTATATAATAAGAAATAACTCTTTTTATTTATTTAAAAATTTAAATTTAAAATTTTTAATATAAATATTTAAATTCTTAATTATTATAATGTACCTAAATGGTATTTAACTATAACTTATTTATCGTTACTATATATGACTATTGCTTAAATTACTTGGTTTTTCTTACTAATAATTCAGTTCTCTCTGTACTTTAAATACCAAAAATATATTTCTTCATTTATTTTCTGATTATGATATTTATTTGTTTCAGTGTGTCCCATATACACTTTCCCTAATGCTTCATATATTGTCTACTTTTAGATAGAGAGGAGATAGTTTAATAATATGATACCTTATCTTGCCTCTGAAACTTATTACTGGTAATTTTTTTCGTAAAATCATATCAATTTTGACTAAATTAGCAACAATAGACTTACACTTAATTTAGTAAGAAAGGCCTTTGTCTTTTTTTTTTTCTTTTTTTAATCAGATAAAGAATTATATAAATTGTGACGAATATCGTTGGAGTTATTTTGAGATAATTTAGATTATTGATCCAATTGTGAGTTGAATGCTTGTTACGGGTTAAAGTACCTCTTGTATCCTATTATCAATAATAACTTTTTTTTGCTGATTAAAAAAAAGATAATAGACTATACAACTAAGAATAACCTTTCTTTTTTTTTAATTTTTTCTTATCCTATTTAAAGTTTAAATTTAAAATTTTTAACTTAAAGTTTTAAGTTCTTAATTACTTGAGATACCATTTGAGGATACAAAGCCTTTCTTCTTCTTCTTCACACTATTTCTTTTAATTTTATTCGATTGAATTCAAAGCTCTCAAGACTCTAGCCGGTCCTCTGATCACTGCACAAATGCTCTGTTGGCTTTCACAGTTTCTATCTAACTTGATAAAGCATTAGAAATTAGAATATTTGATCATAAAATTCATAATTTGTGAACATGAGAAAAAAAACCAAATTCTAGGGTTACAAACATGTCAATATGTCAAAATGAAAGATAAATATATTTTTTTTTTCACTCTATAATTATCTACTGCATGTATCACTAAATTTTCTCTTTTTAAATTTAATAAAAAAATAATATTAATAAACATGTAAATTATTTTTATTTTTAATATAAATTTTTAGTACATCAACAAAGTTGAAAAAAATAAATCTATTGAGAGTAAGATTAAAGCCTTAGAGTGTTATAAATGTTTTAGGAAACCTCTAACAAGAATAATTTGGCGGCAGAGAGTGAAATGTATTAATATTGAGTTGAATATAGACATTAACATGAAAGTAATGGAACTTACCGTCTAAGTGAAGGAAACAATTTGTCCCAAACACAATCATGAGATTCATGAAATTTTAAGCAAAACAGAAGATCCAAACGGAGACACATAATGAGTCAACCTACAAATTAATTCCTGCATGACTACGTATGAACGTATTCACCAAATGTAGATACAGGGGAATCCCTCGATTCATGCAGTGCAGTGAAGCACAGGACCAAATGACAGCAAAAAATACGAG